TAAAAAACTTTTGTGGTAGTGCTTTTAGACAGCTAAAAATTTAAATAGTACTTACATGTGAAATGTACAATTCTGCGAGTTTTCTTTTTTAAATGAGTTACGTCCGGGCACTGAACACGTCACCATGACTAATAAACGTCCGTTGAACACTATTTAACATTTTAAAACCAATTATTTTTCAAAAATAAACGAAATTTGTTTCATTATCAGCTGACCCTAGGTTCATACAGGCTCATAGCATATAATGAAGTGGTCTCGTCTACCCATCTCGCTCTAACATACGTGTATACTAACGCTCTTTCACATTGCCAATCTATATACTAAATCTATGTGCGACGAGGACGGCTTCAAAAAGGTGGAAAAGAAAAAGAAGTACACTAGCCCTAAACTTAGTGGCACCGCCCCGACTGGCCCCAACCATTAATTGCGCCCAGCGGTAACGACGACGTTGCTATACGTGTCACGACGTGTGAATGTCTACGGATATTGTGGGGTATATACGGGTGAAAGCCAAAGCTGGGCTGAGGGTCGAGCAGTTGGAATCCCGCGACAAAGTGAATTTTAATTCATTTGTGGTGAGAATACCAACTCAACATCTGTCGACCTTTATGAAGGAGGACTTTTGGCCGAAGGGTGTCATGTTCCGGCGTTTCCGAGGACGACTATCGGACACCCACGTTGTGTCACTCGTGGCGGTACATACGTGTAAATAAATAAATTGTTTTTATCATATTATTATGTATGTTAGTCTATAAGGTATGTGTTTTATGGGTTTTTTGTAACTTGTAAATAAATAAATTTAAAAAAAAGAATTAATTATGACAGGTTATTAATTTTTCGGTCTATCACAATGGAAACTTCACCGGTGTAGCCGGCGGTCACCTCCCCAGGAGACTCATGAATCTAACTGGTCTAACCTAGTTTAAGATCCTGTTTTCCAATCTTTCAGTATGATGAGAGTAAATAAACGACTTTATTTTATTATTATTGATACAAATATGGAACAAACACAAATACCTTCGTTTCGACTGTGCTCGAAATAGAATCAGTCGTCTCAACGTGGCTACTTTACGTTATGGATTTTATTTTAACGTATTAAATTTACGTAATTAAATTACACACACAAATTAAAATATACCTAAGACATAAGTATTTACGTAGTATATTTTATTTGTACTTCAGGACGCATACATCCGCTCAATCGGCTAGGACACATTGAAACTCTGTGACGCCTAGTCTCGGTTGTGACTTTAGTTGAATGGGATTCTTTTGCATACGCCACAGCCGCACACATATCAGTATTATGTTATATATGTTTTTATTTATATTAGTCTTTTTTGTGACTTTTTTATAATATAGCGTTGCAATAAATGGTTTCTATTTCTATATCTTAAAAAGAGCCTTAAAATAATTTAAAATACAGAGGAGTATTATGAGGCTCGCAATTATAACATCTGTAGAATACGTTTGTTCTTCATAGGTCTTCCTCAAAGAGCTCTTCCCAAAATTTTAAACAAAATACAGTTTTTGGTTCGTTTAGGGAAATCTGTGGCCGTAGCATGGCAGAAAATGTGTGATAAACCTCCCAGTGACAATATTTTATTCAGTTGATCAACCTAAATTTGCTTATTTAGTAATGAAGTATTGTTGTACATTTTGAGGAACAAGAACAACTATATGAAATTGCGCATATTGCTATCTTAATCGTTTAATTATCGCGCAAAAACCATGAAACAAAAAAATGTCTTTTCATCTCGTTTGTCGCGCTCATTTTACGTTGATAAAATTACTGTGCAAATGTTTTAAAATCAGTTGTGACCATGCAGTCATGTTTGGCACTATGTTAATCCTTTGCAGTCATTGATCGCTGGAGCTCGCGATGACATATAAAAATGCTCGCCATGTTCGCTATTGTGAATTTTGAAATGCCGGTTTATCACTCGAATTTGAAAGTTAAATGTGTATTAAATTCGAGGAGTAATATTATTACAGGGAGGTCAAGGAGTTGGCTATGGACCGTGAGGAGTGGAGGAGGCTACACCGACAAGAGCATGGCTCTTAAATAAAATGAATGAATGAATATTATTACATTGACTTTTAGAGATGAGCGTCGAAGCCAACAACAAGTTTCTACTTTGTTTAAACCATTCATATTTACGTATCGAAATCAACACTAAAATTTTATAAATATTATCAACACATTTTTTTGCAATTTACTCTAGTAATCTCATGAAGTGGGAAAATAAGTTAAAATATTAATTATAAAACGAAAAAAAAAAAAAACAATCAAATTGAATGTTCTGGCAGTTTACTGCCTCTGTGGCCGAACGGTTATTACGCTGGTCTGCCACACAGAGGCCCCGGGTTCGATTTCCGGGTCGGGAGAAATGTTTGTGTGGCCTGCATTCATTTATCTCGTGATTGTGTCCATGGCACCCGCAATACAGGATTTCCCAAATGCGGGACTATGAATGTGTGAATTGTGTGTGCGTTAGTATTATTATTTATTCCAAACACATAGGACAAGGAAACAAAATGTAATTATAAATAAATTATAGCTAAAACTTTTCAGGAATTTATCAAACCAACATCAACCTATTTATACGTCACACTGCTGGGAACAAGTCTCTTCTCACGCGAGGGTTTACTCTCACGCATTTTTTGAGGATTGTTAACCTTTTCGCCGTGCAGGTTTCATTACGATGTTTTCTATCACCAAAAAGCTCATGGTAAATTACAAATTAAATGACATAAGTGGGTGCGAGCCCGGATTCGTACCCACGGCCTCTGCTAGAGAGGCAGTAGGTCAAATTATTAGACTACCACGTATTATTTTGATAAAATTTATTTAAATTATACAATTATTTTCTTCTTTTTCTTATAATATCAAGTGACGGAATGAACAAGTCGTGCGCCTGATGGTAAGCTACACGCCTGCCCATAACAGTTGCACTGCTACTCAGAGCTTTAAATCGCAAAGATCCGGAGCACTGCCACTGCGCCCGTCACCCTGAGACATAAGTTGACAAGTCGCAGGTGCTTGTAATTTCACCAGCACCCATACCCTTCATCACCCCTGAAATTACTGCTTGGCGGCAGAAATAGGTACGGTGGCAGTACTTCCCTGGACGAACTCTTTCACAAAATTAAAAATTATATATTATAACTATCATACTGTTAGTATAGAATATTATACATAATCTAAAACTACTTTCAAAGAGGAAACCAAATATTTCGGTAGAAACAGATGACAAATTGAAACAGAAGATTTATGTATAGCCTGAGAATCATAATATCTGTAGAATAGGTGTTGTCTTCCAAAGGTCCTTTTCAAAGATCTCGTCTCGAAATTGTAAACAAAATAGAGTTTAATAAATCCTGACTCGTTTAGGGAAATCCGATGTCCATTTTAATTCGAGGAATTACGCTGTGATGCGAGACCCCCATTAAGCACTCGTCCCATGATGAATGATCCAAACAGTGACGTAAAACAGCATGAAGATGATGAATGCTCATAATTTTCAGCCAACTCATAGCCACTTGCCCGTTTGTACGGAGCGATGAACAAATATCTGTTTCATATTTTTTGTATTTTAATAAAAATTTCTTTGTGAATTTATTTTATTGTATTAAATTTTTCGGAATATTGCCGCGTCCGTTATATTAGAAGAAATGTAATATTGGACATATCCTGAAAGGGTGTTAAATTTTGGTACATTCAACCAGCACAGATTTCATCACATAAAACAAACGAATGAAAGTGTATTATTCTAAGTTAAAATATTTTTTATGTCAATGAATAGAGAAATAATTGTTTGGTTTGCTGGAAGACGTTGGTTCGAATCCAGCCGGATAGATGAAATATTTTCTAAGTGTTAGATTTTTGTATTAATAATAATAACAAACTAGTGGTGTAATTTCACAAAAAATAAATTGAATATCGTATGGTGGTCCAACATCGTGAAATTCACAAAAACTTAAAAATTACAATTATTAAAAAGACATCTCTACTCAGCTGCTGATAGCTGTAAAGAATCTGGCTGAGTGAATAAATAGATTTCTCAGAGATGGCGGTACGGCATAAAAGTCGTTAAAAACCTAAAACAGAGCGACAATTTCTAATAGCTTTGATCCTAGAAAGATAGCCATAGTCTTAGTACTTTATAGATTCGACATGTGAACGCTTAAGTACACATAATTTTATATGTTTATAATTAATATTTACATAATTTTTATGTTTATATAATTTTTTGATCATTGTAAGAGTCATTCTGCGATGTATAAAAAAAAACATTACGGATTATAATTATTAATACAAAGATTGAACACTTAGAAAAAATCCCTTCGATCCGGCCGGATTCGAACCAACGTCTCCAAGCAAACCGTGCCAGACTCTATGTCAACTAAGCCAAGGAACGAACAAGCGATCCTCACGAATTTTTCTATGTGCTTGTTGTCGGATATTTGTATTTGGTTTTTCAACGACTTTTATAGCCGTAACGCCATCTATGAGAAATGTATAAAAGTATTTCAATTGTATAACAAAATAAATAAAGAGATAAATATAAATTTCATTAGGGATTAGTTGTATTTTTTTTATAATACTTAGTGACGGGACGAACAAGTCGTGTACCTGGTGGTAACCGACACACCTGTTCCTAACAATTGCAGTGCCAGTCGGAGCTTTAATCACAAAGATCTGAGGGGTACTGCCACTGCGCCCGACACCCTGAGTCATAAGTTGACAAGTCCCATGTGCCCGTAATTTCACCAGCACTCTTACCCTTCGAATCCGGAACGCAATAATATTCACATTGCTGCTTGGCGGCAGAACTAGGCAAGGTGTACTTCCCTGGCCGAACTCTTTCACAAAGAGCTCTACTGCTAATAAACTTTTTAAATCGATATACTTACATAGCAAACATAGGTCTTTCTTACTTTGCAATAGTAAAAAATATTGAGATCTCTTTAGGGACTTATAATTTTTTATCTTAATTATCGCACTGCTGTCAGCCCTCCTCACCCAATGAAAGGGTTTGGGCTATAGTTCAATGCGGATCTGGAATTTCACACCTATCATTAAGTTGGTTTGCAGATGTATGCAGGATTCTTCACAATGTTTTCCGTCACCAAAAAGCTCATGGTAAATTACAAATAAAATTTCATATATGAATTCCGAAAAGTCAGAGGTACAAACCCAGATTCGAAGGCACAACCCTCTGCTTGAGAGGTAATAGGTCAAACCATTAGGCTACCACGGCTTATTAAACAAAAGAAAATCTTTGGTGTACAACAAAATAAAGTTAAGAACTTATTAGTATTCCGCAACAATATTGACAGCAGAACTTACAGAGTCAATTCGACGTTCTGTCTAAGGCGGTTCTCATACGCCTGTCGCGGCGACAAGCAGTACTACGGATTTAGCATAGCATTAACACGCAACGCTACACTGCGAGACCTGTTTGTGATGCCATAAGCGACTTCAGACAAGTCGATATGATGCTACAATCGTTGTATTACGTGTGGTAAGGACAGGCGTCACCGAAAGAAAACTGCCTATCAAAATATATCAAATCTGTTTTATCGTTGTGATTTTATTGCGGGCTATACCTAAAATAATGACCGTATTCTATATTTTAGGAGTTTATAGCCATAAATTATCAACATAAATAATGGTCGTCCGTCATGCAAGCAATTTGATTTGACTATTCCTATGACATTGTCTAACTTTGCTGGTTTTAAATTCGCGACCTTTGTTGGCACGGCAAATATGCAATACGGCTATGTTTAATGTCTCTTTTAAAAATGTTACTCATTACTTACCAAAGCGAAGCTGAAAAGAGCTATTTTTATCAACCGAGCATTTCGTTATTTTGACATCTCCACGCCGCTTGGTAAAAACGGGCCACTTAACCATTAGCGCCATTATCTACCGCTTTGGTAGACAATGGCTTAATGGTTAAGTGACAGTTCAATAACTTAAATAGTCGCTTAAGTGAATATCAACCGTGTAACTAAATTTGTGAAGTTATTAATTATTCTATTGGATTTAGTCTTAATTCTTATTGCATTCAAATAATTGACAGTACTATGACTTTGCTCTGATCTGTGCGAACGGAAAGTGTTTTATCCGTCTCAATTTTACACAATTTTCAAAGGTACAAGAGGCACCACGTGTAGTTCTTCAGTATTAAGGTAAAAACTCCACTTTACAAGTAGAAAATAATATTGGAAACTTACATATTTTACGTACCTAGTGCTATTCATTCAGGTCTATCCATGTTATCTTTCAATTTCACGAAGTATCGCTACGATTTCACAAAGGGTCCGGTGCGGGCGACAAATTTACATTTGAGAAAAAACCACATTGCATATTTTAAATGGAGAAAATTAAAATCAATTTCGATACCATCAATATTCCATTTTCTGTTCGTTATGATGGTCCTGACAAAGAGATTTTATTGAATAAATTATCTTTTATTAAAATATATTTAAGACAAGAACTGTTTTAAAGCGGACTTCTCAAAGGGTGCTTTAAATTTATTCGTCCCGAAGTTAATTGCCACTTTTATTATCTTCATAAACTCATACGTTTCATATGAATTTATCAGACAATTAAGGTTAATAATCATAATTAAACTATTGAAACTCTTAGAATATATCAACTTTTTCCATAAAAATAAACAGCACATTGGAAAAAGTCATAAAACATTACATGGCAGTGCGAAGATTGTTTACCTGAGGGGCTGCCTTGAGCTGCCAAATGCGAGTACGTGTCACTGCAATCTGTAATATCTTTAGTGAGAGTAAAAATGTTTTACTACTTGTATGTTATGGCGTTGTTTACAAAGAGTCGACTGCCGCTTTTGGCAGAATACTTTACCTTGTGGAAGGATGTACAGTCGACTCGCTGTATACTACCGCCTCTTCGGTAAGCGATTTGGCTCACGTTCAATAAAATTATCAGGCAGGTGGGTTGCAGCCGCCGACACGTTGAAACTTAATTGTCGGCCTTGCCGAACAAAGGCGTCCTAGTCACCTGAGAGTAACCAGTAGGGCTAGCACGACAGGGCGCGACTAGCGCCGTACCACCTTGTGCAGGTGCTGACCGGGGACGGCTGCTTCGGTCACTACCTGCACAAAGTGGCGAGGAGGGAACCGTCCCCGTCGTGCCACGAGTGCGGCGCTGCGTATGACACCGCGCAGCACACCCTAGAGGTGTGTAGCCGGTGGGATGAGCAGCGCCGTACTCTGACGGGGACTGTAGGGCAGGACCTCTCGCTGCCGAGCTTGGTTGCCGCCATGCTCGATAGCGAGAAGTCCTGGGAGGCGGTGGCCTCCTTTTGCGCAGAGGTTATGTCGCAAAAGGAGGCCGCGAAGCGGGTGCGCGAGGACGCGGTGGACGCGCACCCGCTCCGGTGCAGACGTACGGGGAGAAGGCGAAGGCAGTTCGCTGCTCGCCTGATCCCCTAGTGAGACCAGCGGGCTCTGGACAGGGACTCCGGAGCCTGCATTGCACGGCCTCACTCGTCTGGGGGGCGCGGGCGGGTCGGAGGACAACCGACTCGCCCCTCCGTTGGCGCAGGAGCCCTGGTGTAAGCTAGGGCGGCCGGGCGGCGTCGTGGTGAATGTTCACTGATCCCACGGCGCCGACTCAACCGGCGAGACGGAAACCCGGGGGGGTTTTAGTGGGGTAGGCCTTCCAGTCTGGAGGGAGAGTCCCCACATAACCCCTGAGTCTCCCTGGGCTCAGGGGTATCCATAAAGATTTCCCCCCCGTAAAAAAAAAAAAAAAAAAGGGCGCGACTAGCGCGAGACCGAAATAAAGCGCGATATACTGCTATTCTCGCATAGAGATCTCGCGCTTTATGTCGCTCTCGCGCAACTCGCGCCTTGTCATGCTAGCTCTACTGTCGACCTAGTGTAAACGCGCCATTATTCTTGTATATTTTATGTAATTTTAAATGTACTGATTATAATAAATAGGTACGAACATAATCTCGGTTGATGTTCACTAATGTAATATTATATGTATTAGGGTGGCTTATTCGGGATTTATACAATCGTTCATCGCTGTGACCGGCAATAAATCTATTCTGATTAGTGCTAATAACAAATAACTTTCTCAAGGAACAATTGCAACTTCGAAAAAAAATTGCTCCATAAACAAAATGTTCATATGGAATCTGTACGGGAACATTATATTTTCTAACATAATTTTTGTATTTTGTTGAGAAATATAGGTGGGTGGTTACACCTTGTTCAAATAGTACATACGTTTGTATTCCACTCATGAAAAGTACAAATTTCGAAGGTAGTTGCTAAATAGCCATAATAAATAAACGACCGTATACCAGAGTATAATTTCCCAGTGGGTACCGTTGGCGGGTCCCAACTTAGCTGAGATCTATTATGGGCGTCGCGACAAGCGTTCATTGAGCCATGCGAGAGTTCCGGCTCTGGACAGAATTATTTATTTGAATTAATTGATTGGGGATTGAAAACAATAGATGGAATAGGAGTGGATTTTACCAAAGAGTTTTTGTTTTACTTTTTTGTTTTCGTATTGAAATTTTTACAGTACGCAGTATGGTTAGCACGAAAGGGCGCGACTACCGCGAGAGCGCCATAAAGTGCGAGATACAGCTATTCTCGCATAGAGATATCGCGCTTCTTATCGCTCTCGCGCCAGTTAGCTAGTAGCAGCTAGCTAGTAGCTTGCCGTGCTAGCCCAACTCGTAATTAAAAACAACAATACCTAATTAAAACCGTCAAGAAATACCATAATATAAACACAAAGCATTAAAATTGCAAATAGTTCCAAAACAATAATAGGAAATTACAATTGCGGCTGAATATCCAAAATTCGACTCGAAAAGTTTGCGGCGCCGTTATTGAGAACCCGTTCTCCAAGTAACTCAATTCCATGAGCCACAATAATCTGAACATAGTTATATCTCGGTTCAATTACGACGTGAGTACTCTATCCATCGGTTCAGTATGTGTGCTTGGGGCACGAGTTTGGAACGACAGTTATCAGACCGACTACGGCGGGGATGATGGCAAGAATAGACGATACACTCTATGGTTTATACGGAACCGATAGATCTCAGAATCTGATGTCTTATTAATGAAGTTAATGGTACCTTCAAAAATTCAATGTAGCATTCATGCATTAGCATCATAGTACCTACATTTGTTCAAATGTAATACATGTTAAAAAGAATATTCTTAACAATAAAATAATCTTCATAAATTCACACAAAAAGTGATAATATTGAAATGAGCAACAAATATAAATTTGTTGTCCTTGATAGTCGTCTCCACAAAATTTAATTTAATTTAGATAATTTGCAGTTAGATAGCGTTGAAACATTTTTGTTATTTGTGATAAAAGCAATGAAAATGCATACTCTAAGAGCCTACGCACACAGCGTATTAAACGCACGTCATCTAGGTATGCGCATACGCGCCGTAGACGCACTGTAGTGAATCGATTAAAACGCGCGCAAACACCGCGTTGCAAGCAAGAAGCTTATATACTCCACTGGAGTTTACACTTAGAAATTCATGTACTTGCTTCATTTCAAAAAGTAACTGAAATTAAGAAGCAAACTAAAATTAACACTATGTATTATCAAAATGCGCGATACATGCGCGCGACTACAGTGCGTCTGCGGGGTGTATACGCGCGTCGTCGGCGCGTATGAAATACACCGTGTGCATAGGCTTTAAACGGAGTAGTAGCTCGTTCAAATTATTAGTACTTATGATTATTTTTTTTTAAATAGTTGTAAATGAAACATCCGCTCTTCTCTATTCTTCTTAAAGATAATTACAATTAATTTCATTTAATTGTAATTTGCTTAACTATAAAAAAAACATATTTTGAATTTTGTTTGCTGATTTTAAACGCTGTAAAAAACAATCTAAACAGATTGTTACACAATGGTTTACCAACCGCTTGTCACGAGGCCAATAGATCTCGGCGCAGTCGTGGTCTCTCACCCGCTGGGAAATTATGCTGTCGGTGCCCGCCCGCCGTCAACCCGATACTGACACGCTCGTTTGTTCCGTTTAAACAGCTACTCACCCTTAAAAAACAAGCAAAAAGTTACTTGAAATTACGTTTTACACTTGTAGTCTTTTTGTTTAGAACCGGTCTGTATTATGTGGCGTAGCAATTTCACGCGTAATTAAAATGTGTATAACAATTTATATTAGAAAATTATGCGAATTTATAATTATGCATAAAATTGTTATGCCACTTAATATAGAATTTACTATAGAGTCAGATGGAACAACATTATTAAGAAGCCAAAATAAGTGAATAATTGAATAGACGTAAAATATATAATGACCATTGAGGACCACTGAGGTCCCGGGTTCGATCCCCGGCCGGGTCAGTGTAGAAACTAACTTTTCTATATTGTCTCGATTTTATTACACAAGTGCTTTAGCTACTTACTTTGGGATCAGAGCAACGTATGTGATGTTGTCTAATATTAGTTTATCATTAATTTATTTTTTAAAAGTTATATAGGTTTTTATGATATCTCTTATAAATACGGAATAATTGTCTGGGCATATTTGACGATCACTCCCTGTGTAACTTATACATATAGTAATAACCACAATAACCCACTTATGCAAATAACTTAAGATCAAAACTTAAGATCGGCAGAACTTAAGATCATTACACCATTATACAAACAATTTTAACCATATTATCTTTGCAAACTACAGGCCAATTGCAATATTATCGGTAATTAATAAAATAGTTGATAAATTTATTACGAACCAGGTGACAAACTTTTTAGAGTCGCATAAAGTAATATTAGATTCCCGGTATGGTTTCCGAAGAGGCCGCAGTACCGCGTCTGCGCTGGCTGGTTTCTCTGATTATGTTAATCAAAGTTTAAATGATCGGAAGCAACTGATAGTTGTTTTCATAGATTTCAAAAAAGCATTTGACACATTAGAACACTGCCAGTTGCTTCGAGCTATGGATGAATGTGAGATTCGTGGCCCACTTAGGGGTTGGTTCTGAGCGTACCTTCAAGACAGAATGCTTCAAACTCTTATAGAAGTGCAAACTGGTCAAAAGTTTAGTATTATTTACGGTGTACCTACTGGTTCAGTATATGGCCCGTTAGGGTACAGTATGCACGTTAATTCTATGTACAATGTAGTTAAGCATTGTAAGGTATACATGTACGCTGACGACGCCTGTTTAGTGTACGCTGACAAAATCTTGGCAATAATTGAATGCAAGATTCAGGGTGGTTAAGATAATATTATTAAATGGTCTCGAGATAGTGGTATAAACCACGG